ACGGCGACAAATCCACTGGCTGAAGAGGCGCAGTCATGACCCTCGCCTTGCCAACAGCGCCTCGAATCGATATGGCAACAGAACCCTAGGATAGGGGCAATCTGGAGGAGCATACGAAAAAACATCGAAGTCGAGCCGCAATAAAAGGGCAATGCGTTGGAACAGACGTAAGAAACACACGGCTCGAGCCCCAGGAGAAGCCCATCGACATTATAACTATTAAACAAAATCGAACTACAGTAGAAGAGCAACACATGTGAATCTACATAAAGCGCATAAGCTTCGAGCTACAGTAGAAGGGCAAACGATAGGAACATACGTAAAACACATCGAATTCGGACCACAAGAAAGGAGCCATGTGTAAGAACATGCGTAAACCATATCATATTCGAGGCCCAGGAGAGCGCCATCGATAGGAACATAAGTAAAACACGTCGGACTCGACCGACAACACCCTAGTGAGCGCTGCCACCAGACCCCGGGCCACCGAAACACCATGATGATTCACTCGCATTTCTGGACCAAGTCGAGCATGAACACCATAGTGAACGCTGCCGGACCGCCGCCGGGCTTTTTCAAATGTCCACCCCTCCCGAAGGGGAAGGGAGTTTCGGATTTTTGTTTGGGGGGGTCGGGGGGCCCACAATTAACAACACAACCGGAAAAAAAGACTAAGAGACAAACGCTATTAGAAAACTCCAATACCTTCGAAAACTCCCAAACGGATGGCTTTGCGGAGGAAATGGCTGGGGGGATTTGAAGGGTCCCTGGGGTGGCTGGAAAACCAATGGAAAACTACAGAAGATCAGCCAAACATACCACGTGTTTTTCTCTGGTTTCCCCCTCTGGAGCCTGGCGGGGGGGAGGGGCAGAGGAGCCCGCCAACAAAAATGGAAAACACACGCGCCAAAACAAAAACATGGTTTACTTTGATGCTCGGGGGGTGGTGATTGGGGGACCGAAGACCCCCGGAAAACAAACCTCAGAACAATGGAAAAATACCCCCAGAGAGCGCCGAAAACAAACCTTTGAACAAAACACTGCGCACAAAAACCACCGTTTTTAACCGGAATGTTCCCACGCCCAGAGATTGGGGGGGAGCGGGGGACCCCCCGAAAACCCCAAAACAAATTCAGAACAAACCCCCGCCAAAAAGAGAAACGGAACCCACACAAAACACAAACAACACCTCGAATGGGGGGTTCCTGGGAGGTTCGGGGAACTGCCACACATGACTGATTTCATCGCATCGAGTGCGCAACATATTGTCCTCTTTTGAAGCAAATTAGATTATACCCCCACCACCACCCTGGGATTACCACCCCCTGGGGCATTGCAATTTACATATGAATATGCCTCTTCGTTCATTTCCAATACGAACGCACACCATCCCAGCTTGTCCCTGTATCAGGGCCCCCCCTCATAGATGTCAAATAATACAGCGCGGTGCGCATGCGTCGATCCAATATGGGCTGTATGCACAAATCCCTATGAAACAAGACCACGCGGGCCACATGCGCGCGCACAAGGCGAAATCCTTACAAAACCATGTGTTCGCTTCAGTTGCAACGTAAAAGCAAAGCAAATGTTTTCCAACAAAACGTGTTCAACCTTTCATCCCGCGCGCTCTGGCAGATTCCTGAGAAAACCAAAAAGTATTCAGCTTTCCTGTCCAAGGAGGCCTTCGCGCGCGCATGTCGCACTGATTACAATGCCCTCGCGCGCTTGCCAGAGGCACCGTCATCGTCATCATCTCCGTCGGAAGCGTCGTGATCATTCTCATCGTCGTTTGTCGACGCTGTCGTCCGCGTTGTCTCCCGCAGGATGGACTTTGCCCGCGCGACGAGCGTCAACGCGCCAATAAACACGATAAAGTTATCGGAGGAACCCCGCGTTGCAACTGCACTCGCGACTTTTGTATGAATTCTGCCAACCACCTCATCGTCGTTTGTCGACGCTGTCGTCCGCGCTGCCTCCCGCAAGATGGCCTTCGCCCGCGCCAAAAGGGTCCGCGTGCCAGTGAGCTCGATGAGATTTGCGGACGAGCTCCATGCTGCAACTGCAGTCGCGACCTTACGAGTTCTGCCGACCAAGATGCGGGTGGGAGGGTGGGATGTTTGCACGAACATGGGAGGTGGTCACGCGCGGCGCAGCGTGGTTTATTCTCCTTTCTAAAAAAGGAATAGACTCTACCCCCCCCCCCCTGGACTTATACGTTCCCCTTTTCGGGTAAGTAAATCATATATGATTCTGACCACTCGTCCATTCTAAATATGAAACCATATCATCCCAGCCAAACCAGTTCCCCCGCCCTGGGGCTCTCTTGTTAAAAAACACTATGCGGTGACATTTTTGTTCTAACATAACACTTGTCCACGAATCCCTTGCAAATAAAAAGGGACGAAGTGCACACGCGCGCGTCGTCGCGCGCGCATGCCGAAATCCTTCAAAAACCTTCGGTGCCGGAAGAATTTCGCAATCGAGTTTCCCCAAAAACCTACAAAAACATACGGTTTCGCAACACTGATTTGCTAAAAAAGCTTCCGCGCGAGCTCTGGCGAAATCTTAAGGAAACCATAGGTTTTCAAGATTTTCAAAAAATGCTACCGAACGGGCTTCGCGCGCGCGCATGTCGAAATCTGTCGAACGCCCTTGCGCGTGTGCCGTCTCGAGAATCGGGACGAAGTGCAGACGCGCGAGTCGTCGCGGGCGTACGCCGAAAACCTTCAAAACCATCGGGTTCGGAAGGATTTCAAAATCGTGCGTCCAAAAAACCTACAAAAACCTGAGGTTTCGCAACACGGATTTTCAACAAAAGCGTGCGCGCGCGCTCTTGCGTCGTCGTCGTCGTCGTCGCCGTCCTCCCTCCTCCCGCGTCGTCGTCGTCGTCGTCGCCTACGTCGTCCTCTGTCTTTTCTCGTGTTCGTCGTCGTCGTCCTCTTTGGCGTCGTGGTCGTTTCTGTCGTCGTTGTCGCCGTGGTCGTCCGTCCTCCTCCCACGTCGTCGTCGTCGTCCGTCGTCGACGTCTCGTCGTCGGTTCTATTTCGTCACCGTCGTCGTCGTCGTTGTCGTCGTCTTCCCTCCTCCCTCGTCGTTGTCGTCGTCGGCGTCGCCGTCCTTCCTCCTTCGTCGTCGTTCGCGTCGTCGCCGTCCTCCCTCCTCCCTCGTCGTTGTCGTCGTTGTCGTCGTTGTCGCCGTCGTCGTCCTTCCTCCTCCCTCGTCGTCGCCTTCGTTGGCGTCGTCGTCGTCTTCGTCGTCGTCGTCGGCGTCGGCGTCGTTGTCGTCGTCGAAGTCGTCGGAGACGTCGTCGGTGTCGTCGTCGTCGTTGTCGTCGGTGTCGTCGTAGTCGGTCTTAAGAGGTTTTGCAAACCAAGTTGCGGGTGGGAGGGTGGGATGTTTGCGCGAGCAGTGGAGAGGACAGCTTCAAGTTGAGCAAGTGATTGATTGCACCGCATAGATTGCACCACGCAGCTTGCGTAGCATAAGTTGCTAGAAGCTAAATTGGGTTCCGCGCTGGCAAACATACGTGTATATAGTCATGTGCATATGTGTACGTACACACACACGCGAAAATGCGATGAGGGAGACGCAGACAGGGAGAGATACCGAGAGAGTGCGGGAGAGATAAATAAATAGAGACAGAGACAGAGAGAGAGAGAGAAACAAAAAAAAAAAAAAAAAACGAAAAAGACAGTGAGGGAGAAGGGAAAGGCGAGGAGTATAACTAGTTAATAGGAACGGATGGGAGAGAGGGGGGGCTCAACCATTGATAGGTCAAGCGGCTGTGGGTGGACTGTGCCCTGAGGGCCGTGGGTGAGCGGTGCTGTGGGACATGAAGAGAGAGAGAGAGAGAGAGAGAGAGAAAGAGAGAGGAAAAAGAGAGAGAGAGAGAGGGAGGGAGGGAGAGAGAGAGAGAACCCCCCCCAAAAAAAAACCGAGGCAGAAAGACAAAGACAGAAATGGGGAGAGAACAAAAGCATGTGGCGAGGCCCTTCCGCCATCGCCCCAACACCGACCTGGGATCGGCGATGCACCTCCGAAAGCTCAGCGACGGGCCCCCAGAAGCGACCCCTGGGCATGGGTGGACCATCGGGGCCTTCTCGGTCCACGGGCGGTGGGGGGCCGATGCGTCACCCCCGTGAGCCTTGGCTCTCGGGCCACAATTCGGCTCTCTGGCGGCCGCTCGGGACGATCCGGGCATCCCTGCAGCACTCCCGGCGAGGCGCAGCCGCTGGAGAACACACCGAGGCTGCAAAGCCGCCGAGGCCAGCGGAAACACAGAGAAACCTGGAGCCTCGAATCTGTCGACCCCCCTGAGCCCATCCCTGTTCTGACGCTGCCCCTGACGTGCTCCCCCCCGGCAGCAGCCAAGGCGTCCACAGCGACGGAGCACACTGAAGCCGACCGCACCGACAGCGAAGCCGGAGCCGGCCGAGACCGACGAGCCGCGGGCATGCCGCAAGGGCGCGGCGGCGCGGCACAACAAACACGAGGGCCGACCGGACCGAGCCGACCGAGCGCAGCTCTGCGACGCAGCCGAGCCGCCCGAACGGCGGCGAACAGTCGTGGGGCACCGTCCCCGCCCTGCGCGCGGCCCCAGAAGGGGGGGGGGGCTCCTCCTGCCGCGGGAGCGGGACTGTCGGCGCGAGTCGCCGCCCCGCGGGTCGCCGAGCAGGTCGCGGGAGGTCATCTGCGGCCAGCCGAAGGAGGGAGGGAGGGAGGGAGCAGGAGGAGGAGGAGGAGGAGCAGGCCAAAGGAGATGGAGAGAGAAAGAAGACAGCAGCAGGACGAGGCAAGGAGGAGGAAGGGGGGGGAGGCGAACCCCGAGGCACGCAGTAGGCCATGCCCCTCTTTCCCCTTTGCGTCTTGACCTTTATGAACCGACCGACCAAACCAGCAGAAGGAGCAGAGTGCAAAGGAGGAGGAGGAGGAGGAGGAGGCTGACACTACGCTCGTCTCCCCATCTTTGCCAACGTGCATACTTGAACACGCTCGCGTTATCAGTCTACGGCGGGGAAGAGGACTGGGAGCTGCATGCGGGTCTGCAGCGCGAGTGCAGCCATGATCGCGTGAATGTCGCCATGCCTGCGCCCGTGCCAAGAAATCTCACGGAGTTCAGAGCAGCTGGCTCCAGCCCGTCAAGGCGGGTGTCTGTCGTGCTGAGGTGCGCCTCCCCTGCGGGGGCTCCTTTGGAAGCGCCTCGATTGGAAAAAAAGGTTCGGTCGAGTGAATACTCTTGGGGTTTGCGTGGGCTCGGGGATCTTGCTCAAGACGCTGTGACCACGTAAAATGAACGAATACGTGCTGCTGCCCTCATGCTTGTGCACGCGCATGGTCACCAGGTCCCGTGCACGGTCATGTTGCCAACTGGTCCACACTTTCAGCCTGCTCAGTTGTCTGAATTCGAATACATTCGTGAGCTCGGGAGCTCTACCCAAGTGCAAGTGGCAATATGTATAGTTGGCTCTCGGTCGTGCTGCCTTCCACCAATGGTTTGAATACGCATGTCGGGGGGAGGTTCACTTGTCAACATGCCTGCGGACATTGCGAGGGCCTGGGAAATCACTCGTTCCCGTGCAGTTTCTGGATTCCTTTATCCGTCTGTTTGCTCACCGACCTTGGGTCGCGTGGGGGTGTGTCTTGCCCGTTGCCACGACCACTGGAGGATGAGGTGCTGCCGACTACGCTGAGAATCGGGCCTGAGTAAGCCTCTGCTCGTCCTCCCTCTCCTCTGCGCGTGCATGATTCGTTTTATGTGCCTGCTTCGCCTTTCTCTATTCCCGTTAACTCTGGGCTTGGGACCTCCTGGCCTTTTGGTAGTGAGCGAGCGAACGAGCGAGCGAGGAGGAGAAGGAGAGCGCAGAGGAGGAGGAGGAGGAGGAATGGAAGGACCCGAAGGGAAAGTGCACAGCACCAAAAACGAACGACAGGAATTACTGGCCTACAGAGGCCTCCTTCAAACGAATTATCTCAATCAGGGCAGCCATGCGCTGCTCATATGAGGGAACCCCTGAGGCTGATAACGATCTGGACACCTCCGTCGAGTCAGGGGCCGCATTAGACTCCGAGGGGGCCAACATCTCAACCATGGGATACCGAGGGAGGAAGACGCTACGACCGAGGAGGGCTTTGATAGTACGGTTCGGTGGCCTCCCTTGGGAATAGCGGCTTATAACCTCCTGACCTTTTCTTGGCGGGGTGTTGTCCAGGCAAAATGCACGGCTGAGCAAGCTTTAGGGCTCTACCCTGGGACCACCCCCCACATCTTAAACAAATCCAAAATTGCTTCTCAAGGACCTTCTGCCCGGCACCACTCGAAGCTCGAGCCGACAGCCCAGCCGCGACGACGAGATGCCCCTTGGGATCCTTGAGGAGCGGTCTGATGTTGGGGGGGACCCCTTTACAGCCATTGAAGGGAAGCTCCGTTCGGCCCTCACCCCCTAGACTGAAACACTTCGAACATCTGAGGCCTGCAATCCGTCGACCCAAACATGCCATTCTTGTTGCACTCGATGTGTCCGTCGCCTGCGGCGGTGGACGTCGGTGTTCCTATTCTACCTAGGCGTGACCTCAAATAACGGAAGAACGGCAGCAGCGAGCTTACAGAAGTGGGCAGCACGTTCCACGGCCACCTCTGATCCCTGCAGGAAGGATGGGTCGGCAGACGGGTGAGCTCGGACGGCCTCTTTCGCATGGCGGTCAACAATGCGCTTGGCCTCAGCATATTCTCGCTCATTCTGTTCCAACGAGCCAAACAACTCCTGAGATCGATGCGCCTTGACATGCCGCACCTCCTGTATGAACGCTGTGCCCTCAAGTGTGTGGGCAAATGTCCTTATCCCTGCAAACTTGCTGCGCACTGAAAGCTGTTGTGCCAATTCTTTTTGCGCGAGTTTGACCGCAGACATGAAATCGACGCCCAGCTGAGCTGGTCTATTTGCCACCTGACCGCGGAGCGCCACACCTACATGCTCAGACATTGCAGGTGTCTGAGGAAAACGTCCTTGGACGACTCCACGCATCACGCATACTGGAACAGGATCGGTCCCGCTCGGTGGGAGCACCGCCATCGCCCATGCCGCTCGCTGGAGCGCACGTATGGGGGGGCTTCGAGCAGGACCCATCAGACACCATTATTAAAACAGGCTCGTCCGACAAATCTGCTAGCTGCTCAGGGTCCCTGTCCAGAGGTGCACCCAAAACATCAAAAATGTCCACCTCAGCTGACGTGGACGGTTTCGGAAGCTCGCTTTCTGGGTACACGTAAATCCCGCGGGTGAGGATTTCCAGATCTGGCTCAGCGCGAACCGCCTCCAAAAACTGACGAGGAACTTCGGACTCTGCTCGGGACTGCTCTACATCAGGCCTGGAACAGGAGTAGGGCCTGTGGTGGAGTGTGTCCACTTGCCCGCACACGCACCGCCCGTCCGTCTCGTACCCCGCCAAGCGACCTCTATCAGCAGTCCACACTCCATTGCACCCACAGATCCTGATCAAAAACTTGGCCATCGTGCTCAACCCTCGAGCCTCGGGCCCCAGTCTGGACCGTATAAGGTCCAGAGTTGCCCTGTGCCCAGGAGGGTGGCCTAGCTTGGCTGCTAGTGCTAGCTCGTGGACTCTCTGAATTCCAATCTCTAGCTGATCTGCAAGCAATGCTGGCGGTGTTTCATCTATCTGGATGGAAATCCCGTTGTGACATTTCCATTCCAGAGGACCTACAGCCTCCCAACTGGAGGAGGAGAGTGTAGAGGAGGAGAATGCAGCGGAGGAGGGAGGAAGGAGAAGGGAGGAGGAGAGGGGAGGGAGGATGGGGGGACAGGAGACAGGAGGGAGGAAGGAGGGAGGGAGGAAGGAGGCGGAGGAGGCGAGGAAGGCTGGGGGAAGCGCAGGGGCCAGAGCTGGGTGGTCAGCTGACAACCCATGTCTGAAACTCTTCTTATTGCTGGAACTGTAGCGACAGCTGCAATTGCCCGAAACCTCCAAGTGCTGGCAACACCAGTGATACCTGCAAGCATCTCAAAACCTTCCTCGTCCTCCTTATCACCTGTCTCCCTCCTGGACCTTATACGTCTCCTCCTGATCACCATATTCATCCCAATCCCTATCCTTCTCATCATTATCATCATATTCATATTGCCAAAAACACAATCACCAATTATCATCATCATCACCATCATCATCATCAGCATCATCATCATCACCATCATCATCGCCATCACAATCACCATCGCCATCATCGACTTCATCAACTCTTCGTCCGCATCATCACCATCACCATCATCAGCAGCATCACCATTATCGTCATTCTCGTCATCAACATCAGCAGCAGCAGCAGCAGAGCAGCATCAACATTATCGCCATCGTCATCGTCATCGTAATCGTCATCGTCCTCGTCCTCATTCTCATACTCCCCATCCTCATCATAATCCTCATCCTCATCCTCGTCATCATCGTCGTCATCGTCGTCATCATCAACAGAATCAGCGTTGCCATCATCCTCATCATCATGAATCACCCTCATCCTCATCATCATCCTCATCCTCATCATCACCGTCACCATAACCATCATCAGCATCACCACCATCACAATCATCGTCATCATCACCATCACCATCACCATCACCATCACAACCAACATCAACATCACTATCATCATTATCATCTGCATCACCACCACCGCCATCAGCATCATCGTCATCATCATCACCCTCACCATCACCATCTCCATCACCATCATCATCATCATCATCATCACCATCATTATCATCACCATCATCACCATCATCGTCGTCATCGTCGTCGTCATCCGCTTTGGCCCCTCGTCCATCACCTCCACCCCCTCCTCCTGCTCTGCCTCCCTCCTCTTGATCCACCACCGTGCGTTGCGCGCGCTGACGGCTGTCTGATAGGGCGTCTGTATTCTAACAAAGGTAGCCCTACGTCTCCAAGTCAAGTCAAGTCAAGTCCGGTCGAGGAGCCCATGGAGGCCCCTCGCCCCGCAAGCGGAGGCGGAGGGCGTGAGACGCTACGGCAATGAAACGCGCATGCAAGAGAAGGGTTGGTAAAACAGTGCTAACACAATGTACTAGGATTGTAACATACATCAGGCCTGCCAGCACATACAATTGAAGAATGAAATCTCCAGTCGCTGCCATGATGAACGCTGTTAGCTGCGGGAGACATCCATTAGGCTCGTGCCGCGCTCGCCAACGCAAAACTTGCGTGGGCCATTCTTGCGACCCGCTTGTGGCAAGTCGTGCAGAGAGGCGACACGTTGAACGGTCTATCACGACGAGCCAAGCTGACGCTGCACTCTCTGCATTCTCCCGCTCTCTCTCTCTCTCTCTCTCTCTCGCGAAGCCACGATCCCTAGTAGAAAACAATGGATCCGCGCTCCCGAGGCCACGAACCCTTTTACAAAACGATGGATCTGTGTCCCGAGCTTCCAAGACAGCCCATGCAGGCAACCAAGGATACCAAGATGGCTCAAGATGCCTCGAAGGCGGCCCAAGATGGCCCCAAGGCAGCCCAATATGGCCTCTTGAAAGCCAAGGATGCCTCCATGAAGGCTTAGATGGGCCACAGGAGGACCTCCAGCAAAGCCCGGAGAAACCAACATCAATGCTGTCCCTTGGGTTTTGGATGAGTTTCGCACCCTCGCCTTTTCGGGCTTCCGTCAACACAAGGCGGCCCAAGAGGCCTCTGCGATGGCCCCAAGACGGCCCAGGAAGTACCACGATAGTGCCGCGATAGTTTCGCAGAGCCTGGGATAGTGCCAGGCCTGCGCAGTGCCTGGGAACCGACGAGACCTTCATTCGCAGATCGCAGTGCCTGCGATCTACGAAACTATCGCCCAAGACGGCCCAAGACGGCCCATTCAAGACGACCCCAAGTCTGTCCAAACGGGCCTCCCGTGGGGACCGAAGACTGTCTTACAAAAGGCCGTTCGGCAGCCCAAGACGGGCCCCGCGGGGGCACCACCCAGCCACCCACCGGACGGCCAAGAGAACGCCACGACGGCCAACGAGAGCACCGAGATGGCGCAAAGAGGACTCCTGGACGGCACAGGAGGGCCCCGAGGGACCCCCAATGCAGCCTCACGGGAGGGCAAGACAGTGGAAGACGGCCCACACAAGTTCCATTAGGACTCCTCGAATGCCAAGACGAAAGAGGTGCCACACTACGTCCATCCTATTCCTCATCCTGGTCCTGCTCCTCATGCGCCTCATCCTTGTCATCATCATCATCATCATCATCATCATCATCATCATCATCATCATCATCATCATCATCATCATCATCATCATCATAATAATAATCATCAGCAGCAGCATCGGCATCACCATCATCAGCATCATCATCGTCATCATCGTCATCATATAATATGCATCACCATCACCATATTAATCATCAGCATCATCATCATCATCATCATCATCATCATCATCAGCAGCAGCAGCAGCAGCATCAGCATCAGCATCAGCATCAGCATCAGCATCAGCATCAGCATGATCATCAACATCGCAATCACCACCATCGTCATCAACATCATCATCACCACCACCATCATCGAGCACCATCACGGATCTCCAACCCTCGCTCCTCCTCCACCTCATTTTCCTCCTTCTCCCTTCAACCCTCTTCCTTCTGCTCCGTCTCCCTCCTGCCTTCTCTCTCCTTCCCCTCCCTCCCTCCTTCACGCCCCCGTCCCCATCCGCCACCTCATCGTCCTTCTCCACACATCCTTACCATTGCCTTTCTCCCCGTCCGCCTCCTCAGAACTCCGACGTCGCTTTTACCGAACGTCGACCCCCGGAGGTCTGGACTCCTTCCGTGGGAGCGTTTCCTCGTCCTGGGTCATTTTTTGACGGCCCCGGGGGCCTGGCGAGGGACGGCAGAAGCCGGAAACGACCAGAGGTCTCCCGTCGTGACGCCTCCACGACGGGGAAGGCGGAGGTCGCCTCTCCGCCCCCATCCTCCTCCGCATCCTTAGAGCCTTAGAGGCCTTGTGAGTGGGGTCCGCGTGGATGGTGCCAGAGGGTCGCGTCGCATCGCGGATGCATCGCCGAGTCATCGGTGACGCATTGGTGATGCATCGGCGACGTCGGCGCGATGCATGTTCGACGTCGACGCGAAGGGGATCGGGCTCCACATCGAGCCGCATCGCCGATGCACCGGCGATGCGGCGCCATCCTCCGACCCCCCTCTGCTCGGAGCCCATCCGGGAGGCCCAGATCCAGAGGAGGGCACGGGGAGCGGGGGCGCCCGGGAGGGGGCCGGCCACAGACGGGGGGTCGCAGGCCATGGCACGAGACACGTGCGCGGCCCGGGGGGGAGGGGGCAGGGACCGCACTGCGGTCGGGCCTGCGGCAGGCGAGCAGGAGCACGAGACCCTCTGCCAGCCAAAGCACCCCACGCCACGAGATCACTCGAAGGTACCCTCCCCCAGGGTGCCCCGAGCCAAGAGCATCCAGCAAACACGAAGAACATCGGGGTACCCTCGCCGACCCGACCTCGACCTTAAACCTCGGCCCGACCGTACAGTCACGGTTGACTGGAGAGGCCACGCGAGGGTGCACAAGGCCCTTTCGAGGGCCACAGCGCCACGGGATGCAGAGGGCACGGGCCGCGAAAAACACAGGACAGAAGTCTCTCTCTTGCTTTGGTAGGGCCGACCCGCTAATCAGCCTCGACTGTATCATGGCCCCGCCACGACACCCACCTCCCTGCTCAGCACCCCCCTCCTGGCCGCCCCCGAGGGCGGGGCGCTGCCAAATTGCTGCCCTTGGCGTCAAACTCGCGGCTGTCCTGCGGCGCGGCACGGGGCCCCGCGGGGCGGGCGGGAGGTCCCACGCGGGAGCGCCCGCGTGGGCCCCCGGTCGCGCGCCCAGCGCCCAGGACGGGAAGCACGAGCTCTGGCCTCCTCCTCCCTCCTCCTCCCTCCCTCCTCCTCCTCTCCTCCTCCTCCCTCTCCTCCTCCCTCCTCCCTCCTCCTCTCCTCCTCCCTCCTCCCTCTCTCCCTCCTCCTCCTCCTCCTCTCCTCCTCCTCTCCTCCTCCCCTCCTCCTCCTCCTCCTCCTCCTCCTCCTCCTCCTCCTCCTCCTCCCGTCGTGGGCAAATCACGGCGCGAGGTTTTCAGCCGCCTGCGGCCTCCCGGGGGCCCTCGCGGACCTCTGGGGGGTCGACGCTGTGGAGAGATCACCGCGTCGGAGCTCTCGGACTGGAGGCGGAGTGTACAGCAGACGCGAGCGGCCCGCCACCGCGCCCGCACGGTGTAGGCGTGTTCGAATGCCAGGTGCTGCCCAGTAGGGTTTCTGCACTCCAGAGAAGGATTCCCCCCCCCTCTACCAGCATCCGTCGCGTGCATCCTCCCCCTCCCGAGGCCACGATCCCCGGTAGAAAACAAAAACACTGGATCCGCGCTCCCGAGGCCACGATCACTCTTGCGAAAACGATGGATCTGCGTCCCGAGCTTCCAAGACGACCCATGCAGGCAACCAAGGACACCAAGATGGCTCAAGATGCCTCGAAGACGGCCCAAGATGACCCCAAGGCAGATGGCCCAATATGGCCTCAAGACAACCCCAAATGCCTCCAAGAAGGCTCGAAGGGCCACAGGAGGACCTCCAACAGGGCCCGGAGAAGCCAACATCATTGATTTCCCTGGATTTGAAGGATGTGCTCGTTATCACCTTTTCTGGGCTTCCGTCGGCTCAAGACGGCGCAAGAATCCTCCAATATAGGCCGAAGACGGTCCAATAGGCGCCCACGAGGTCCAAAGATCACCCAAGATGACCCCATGAAGGCCCAAAAGGCATCAAAGACGGCACCAAGACGGCTCAAGAGGGCCTCCCGTAGGACCCATGATGGCATCAAAAGGCCTTTCTTGGACTGCCCAAGATGGCGCCAAGACGGCCCCACCACGGCCCTCAGGCATCCACCACAAGGCCAAGAGGGCCACAAGACGGTCCAGAAGAGCCCCCAGACGGCCAAAGAGGCCCTTTCCCTTTCCCTTTCCCTTTCCCTTTCCCTGTCCCTTTCCCTTCTCCTTTCCCTTTCCCTTTCCTCCTCCTCCTCCTCCTCCTCCTCCTCCTCCTCCTCCTCCTCCTGCTCCTTCTCATCCACGTCATCGCCATCGTCATCCTCACTTCATCCTCATCTTCATCCTCATCCTCATTATCATTATCATTATCATGCTCATCCTCCTCATCATCAGCATCATCATTATCTTCTTCTTCATCATCAGCAGCAGCATGATCATCATCAGCATCAATCCAATCACAATCATCATCATCATCATCATCATCATCATCATCATCATCATCATCATCATCATCCTCATCATCATCATCATCATCATCATCATCATCATCCTGCTCCTTCTCCTCCTCCTCCTCCTCCTCATCATCATCATCATTCGCAGCATCATCACGGTCATCAGCGCATCAGCATCAACATCAGTATCAACATCATCATAATAATCCTCATGATCATCCGCATCCTCCTCCTCATCCTCATCCTCATCCTCCGTATCATCAGCAGCATCACGTTTCATCCTCATCATGCGCATCCACATCATCCGATCACCCACTCTTGCCTACACCATCAACAGAATACTAAGAGTTTCTAATGGTAAGAAAACTACTACTCATCCTAATACTGTTATGTCCAATGATGATCATAATAAACACAATCATCAGCAGCATCAACATCATCACCACCATCATCATCAACATCGTCATCGTCATATTCACCATCACCATCATCATCAGCATCATCACCATCATCATCATCGTCATATTCACCACCACCATCATCATCAGCATCATCACCATCATCATCATCGTCATATTCACCACCACCATCATTATCAGCATCATCACCATCATCATCATCATTATCAGAGGCCGCATCATCATCAGCATCATCACGGTCATCAGCGCATCAGCATCAACACCAGTACCAACATCATCATAATAATCCTCATCCTCATCCGCATCCTCCTCCTCATCCTCATCATCATCCTCATCCTCCGTATCATCAGCAGCATCATGATTCCTCCTCATCATGCACATCCACATCATCCGACCACCCACTCTTGCACACACCATCAACATAATACTAAGAGTTTCTAATGGTGAGAAAACTACTACTCATCCTAATACTGTTATGTCCAATGATGATCATAACGAACACGATCATCAGCAGCATCAACATCATCACCACCATCATCATCAACATCGTCATCGTCATACTCACCACCACCATCATCATCAGCATCATCACCATCATCATCGTCATATTCACCAACACCATAATCATCAGCATCATCACCATCATCGTCATCATCATCAGAGGCAGCATCATCATCATAAGCAACATCAGCATCGTCATAACCATCATCATCATCGTCATCAGCATCATCATCATCAGCAGCATCATCATCATCAGCGTGATCATCCACCTCCACATGCACATACACAACCAAATCCGCGTGCTTATCCTCATCCTCGCCGTCATCATCCCCATCCTCATCCTCATCACCAACATCAACGTCATCATCAACAACAGCATCGTCATAACCCCCCAACTCATCCTCATCGTCATCCTCATCCTCGTCATCATCAGCATCATCAGTATCGTTCTCATCCTCATACTCCTCATCTCATACCCTTGCCTGGCTTGGTTTAAGGCGAAGTTTTCGGACTCAACCGACTCAACCTGTTTTTGCATCATTTCCAACAGCATCGTCATCATCGTCGTCATGATATTCATCATCGTCCGCGTCATCGCCATCATCATCACCATCTCCTCACCATCGTCATCATCATAATATCCATCATAATCTTCTCGTCATCGTCATCATCTCGTAGTGATGATGATGATTAAATCAAGACCCGCATGACGATGATGGCGGCGTGAACATGTTGGTGCTGATGATGGTGATGATGAAGATGACGATGGCGATGAAGCCGATGATTGCGACGATGATGGCGATGAAGATGATGATTTCGGGCTGCGCGGGCCGTGCTGAGTACTAATCGGAAAGCCCCATTTCGTCAAGCACCTCCGTGAGGCCGGGCCACCGCATTTCGTCAAGCACCTCCGCGAGGTCGGGCAACGCCACGGGGACCCGCGCCAGGTGATCGGCCACGACGTGGTTCACGACGTTGAAGAACTCCTTCGGGCCAGGCGTGGCGTCGATCCTGCGCGCCCTGAACTCCCGAAAGACGTCGGAGCGGACCACGACGGCGATCTGCAGCCTGCTGTCGTCTACGCGCTGTTGCAGCTCGTGGTGGGCGGCGAAACAGTCCTGAGGCGTGGTGATGCACGTTGTGCTCGAGGGAGGACAGGGTGCCCATGTAGAAGGACCCATGCTTTTGCTCGAGGGTGACGACCCTTCCGCAGGAGGCTGTGCTCGAGGGTGACGCCCCATCATGTGCTCCCAGGACCCCTGGGATCCTCACTTGCACGGAGCGCGCCCCGAAAACCGTCACGGCCGCGTGCAACAGGGAGCATCCGCCATCTGTGTGCCAACCATCGCCCCGTGCGCCTGGTTGCATGAGCTGGATCGATGCGTACGCGAACGCGTTGTCGGCGAAGTGCTCTGTCATGATGGGCTTTCCGTTCTGCTCGACGATGGCAGGTGGCATGCCGTCGGCTTTGACAGCCTCGCGCATTTTGTCTCCCAGCTGTTGCAGCCACGGGCGCATCTTCTTCCGCAGCGCTCGCACGAAGGCGGCCATGTGGGGCGAGGGGGTGATCTGCAAATTCCCGCCCTTGTTGAGGCTGCGGCACTTCGGGGGGCTTTCGTCGTCCACGACGCCTGCGACCTCTGTTTTCAAGCCCTTTGCCGCCTCGTCGCCTCGGACGCATTTGGAGACGGTTGCCCCCGTGTCCAGGCGCTCCTCGGCCAAGATCTGCCAGCACGGGTCTCTCTGCAAGAAGCGGAGCAAGCCTGGGTCCAGCCCGGCCTCCGCTATCGCGCCCGTGCCGTTTTTCCCCTGCGCCATGAGATGCGCGCGACGAGCTGGGCGCCAGCCGGCTGCAGGAAGCGACGAGCCCTTAGACTACTGATTGTCGCTCTGGCGCCAGGGCGCCAAAGCAGGCAGCTCCCGGCGGCCTTCAACAAGTCTGGGGGGCAGTCTGCAAGTTCGTCAACGGGCCAGCGCCCTCGGCCGTCGAGTGCCTTCGCTGTTTCAGCCTTTAGCCAATCCCCGCCCGACCGCTTGAACCACTTCTCAAAGAAAGGCAGGTTGTCCAGCCACGGGGCGGGTTCCTGGCCCTCGTAATTGTAGAAGTCTCCCGACCCTGGCTCCTTGCCTGGGATCCCCAAAACCTCCCTGCAGAAAACCACGAAGTCTTTCGGGTGCCCCCCTGGATGATGCCCGAGCGCGCCGCAAGGCTCTGGCGGTTGGAACGACACCTTGCGCGTATACAACTCGGCCATCAGGCACCCGATGGACCACATGTCCAGGTCCTCTGAGTAGCGCTGGTTCCCCAAGAAAACGCCTACCGCTCTGTAAGCGGGCGTGCATACTCTGAGGTCATCGCAGGTCGGGCTGTAGCGCAGTTTCCTCTTCAACCTGCCGTGGGGATCCGCCATCTGCACACAGCCGAGGTCGGCGAGCACCACCTGCGGAGAGGGGCGAATGGAGGAGAGGGGAGCTCTAACATAGTATGTTAGAGCTCTCACGGAGCTCTTACATGGCACGTGATACCATGTTAGAGCTCCCAGGGAGCTCGAACATGCTATGTTAGAGCTCCCAGGGAGCTCTAACATGCCATGTTAGAGCTCCCTGGGAGCTC